TGAAGAAAACCAAAGGTGCATGGAAACAATTACTCCAAGGGACTGGAGGACTGAACCTCAGCTTATATGACCATAAAACCAGAAGAACTAGATGGTGCCTGGCTACCACTGTCAACCACTAGGAAAGTGGCCAGTGCAGGAGATCCTGGATAGAGTAGGAGAAAATATGGACCAAAACTCAAGATCATAAAAAGACCAAGTTTATTTGTCTGATAGAGCCTGGTGAGACCCCTGAGACTATGGCCCTACTTACTCTTCAGGTCTGGACTTGAGCTCACTCCCATGGCGTCTAGCCGAACAGTAGATAGGCATATGGGGTGAACATTTACATCAAATAGATACAGCTTAGAGCGATCAACCATGGGAGAACAGAAGGGCAGTGTTTACACAGGGAGATAGCTCAGGGGGCAGGGATGCATAGGAAGGAAGGACACAGGAAGAGGTAATTACAGGGAGGAAGTGGGAAGAGAGCTGTTACATTGTGGAGAATTGCAGTCAATGCCATGAAACAAAATGTGTATGAACTGCTGGGTGGAAAATGAATTTATGCTGTAAACTTTCACCCAAATCACAATAAAAATTAAACAAAACAAAACAAAACAGAACGTTTGTGAGACCCAGAAGACTAAGGTAGCCCTGTGGAGGTCGAGCACTCACAGACTTTGCTGTGTGAGGCTTCTGTTATGGCTGTTTTCAGACATAGTGTAGAATAGTGTAGAAGTACTGACTAGAAACCAAAGCAAACCAAACCCTTTGTCATTGTGTCAATTCTTACTCAGAGTGACCCTATAGGACAGAGCAGAACTGCCCTACAGGGTTTCTAAGCCTTGCAAATCTTTACAGAAGCAGACTGCTGTATCTTTCTCCTGCAAAGTGGCTGGTGGGTTCAAACTAGCAACCTCTGCTTAGTAGCCCAACACTTAACCACTGAGCCCCCAGAGCTCCTGGAACTACTGATCAAGTGGTATAATGCGTCCATTAGCTGTCGTCATTACCCCATGGAATCTTCAGTACCCCCTGCCCTGAACTCTTTTAAGCATATCACAGACATTATTTCATTCATATTTAGATACTAGCCGTTTCCTCTATCATAAGAAGGCATTCCTTTGTTCATTCTGGTACCTAACATGTGCATAGGATTGTTCTCAGCTCTTGGGATAGATGAATGGTAAAATAAACCCTATCCTTAGCTAAAGCACTTGACTGCTAACTAGAAGGCTGGCGGTTCAAACCCACCAGCCACTCCTTGGAAGGAAGGTTGGGCAATCCTACTTCCGTGGTGATACTGCCTAGGAAACCCAAGGAGGGGTCGCTATGAGTTGGGGCCGACTCGACGGCACATAACAACAACAACAACAACAACAACAATATCCTTACGGTCTAGAGACAGGAGGGCGACTAGAGGCAGCTGTGCATAAGTATATGGCAAATATCAATCGGGAAATACGGAGAGTTAGCAGGGTGCTGAGTTGCCCCTTTTGACAGGGTGCTCAGGTGGCTGGTGGGGAAGGCGCCATCCGGAGCAGGTTTGCAGCAGGAAAAGGAGCTAGCTGTGTCGATGTTTGGAGCAAAGGCCCTGCGGGGCAGCGTGTGGGATGTTGAGGAGTGAGAAATGGAGGCCAGGTTGGTTAGAGCAGAGGAGATGAGAGGCAGTAGTAGGACTTGACGTCAGAGGCTCACACGTCAGGGATGCTGATCACTGGAGCCTGTGAGCAAGTCTGAAGTCCTTGGTGGGAGAAATGAGGACGTTGCAGATTCTTGACAGGGATCACTCTGGCAGGATGTTGAAAATAAATTGCAGAAGGCAAAGGTAGAACTAGACTCACACTGTATAGCTTGTTGTGGTTATCTATTGCTGCATAACAAAGCACCCCAAGACTTTGGGTGTAAAAATACCCGCCACTCATTACGCCTGGGGAGTCTGCGGGTCAGGCCTTCAAGAGGGCGCAGGAGGGATGGCGGATCTCTTATCTCTGCTGCCTCGTCTGGGTGTGACTGCAGCAGCTGGGCTGGAGTCATCTCTCAGCTTTGTCTTCACATGTCTGGTGCCTGGACTGGGATGCCTCAGAAGCCTTGACCCATTGCCTGTTTCTCCTGTAGTTTTGGGCCTTTTTGGGTGGGCTTTCCATGTGGCTTGTTCTTCGTGGTGACCTCTGGGCGGGAGAACTTATTACTTGATGGCTCAGAGCTCCAATAGCAAGCGTTCAGTGAACTCGGCAAAAGCTGTATGACTTTCTGTGACCTAGCCTCGAAGGTCGCCTCGCTTTACTTCCTCTGTACACATTGGAGGGGACGGGATCTAGACCCTACCTTTACACCATATGCTCTGTACACATTGGAGGGGACGGGATCTAGACCCTACCTTTACACCATATGCTCTGTACACATTGGAGGGGACGGGATCTAGACCCTACCTTTACACCATATGCTCTGTACACATTGGAGGGGACGGGATCTAGACCCTACCTTTACACCATATGAGTGTCAATGAATTCGTTGCCATCTCTGCCTCAAAACTGCTGCGATGCTAGTTGAGTGATCCAGGTGGGACATGATGGGGGCTTGGACCAAGATTGTGCTGGTGGAGGTGACGAGAAGTGGCTCAATACTAGTTATATTTAGAAGGCAGAACCAGTTGGATTTGCTGATGGATATGGGTTATGAGGGGGAAAAAAATCAAGGATGATTCCAAAGTTTTGGACCTAAGCCCCTGGAAACATTGTGAGTGAGAAATATTCTGATCTTTCTTTAAAAAATGGAACACAACAGAACTTTCATAGAGTTCTCAGATGTTACTAAATCATAATTTTCAAGAAGAAAATCAATAAGATTGAAGGACACAGTCATTTATCCAAATTTTGCAATCTAAAGGGCTTTGACGACCCTGACCAAGTCTTTCTAAAATGGCTTTCACATAGCAACCCTGTGAACCACAGAACTAAATACTGCCTGATCCTAGGTCAGCTTCACAATTCTTGCAATACCTGAGCCCATCGTTGCAGCCACTGTGTCAATCCATCTCATCGAGGGCCTTCCCTTTTCATTGATCCTCCACTTTGCCAAGCATGATATCCTTCTCCAGGGAATGGTTCCTTCTGACAACACAACCAAAGTGGGTCAGATAAAGTCTGGCCATTGTCGCTTCCAAGGAGCATTCTGGCTCCCCTTCCTCCAGGACGGATCCCATCTCTGTGCGTTTGCCTATTTGAGACATTCCACGTACGTGGGATTGCACAGCACGGGTCCTTTTGCATCTGACTTACTTTACTAGAATGGTGTCTTCAGAGTTTACCCATGTTGTCCCATGTATGAGAACCTCATTTCCCTTAATTCTCTTTGTGCCTGAGTAATACTCCATTGCATGGATATAGCACATTTTGTTTATCCATTCATCTCTTGATGAACATTTGGGTTGTTTCCATCTTTTGACTAATGTGAATAATGCTACAGTCAGTATTGGTGCACTTGTATCCCTTTGAGTTCCTGCTTTCAATTCTTTTGGGCATATGGCTAGGAATAGAATTGCTGGGTCACATGGTGACTCTGTGTTTAATCATTTGAGGAACTGTTGTTCACAGTCCCTACCAGCAGTGTAGGAGGGTTCTGATTTCTCCACTTCTTTGCTGTCACTTGGTACTATCTGACTTTTTGATCCTAGCCAACCTAGGGGTATAAAGTGGTAGCTTGCGGTTTTAATTTCCATTCTCCTGGTGACGGTTGATGTTGAGCACCTTTTCATCATCTTAGTGGCTGTTTGTTTATCATCCTTGGAGAACTGTCTATTCAGTGTTTTGCCTGTGTTTTAAACTGGGTAATTTCTCTCTCTCTCTCTTTTAATGGAGCAGTAAATGTACTTTATATATTCTAGGTACAGGTCCCTTTTCAGATGTATGATTTGCAGAACTTTTTTCCTAACCATGGATTATCTTTTTACCTTCTTGATAGTGTCTTTTGAAGTTTTTAGTTTTGAGGAGCCTCACTCACCTGTTTTGTCTTTTGTTTCTCCTGCTTTCAGTGTCAGTCTTAAGTACATTTTTTGGTTCCTAGTTTTAGAAGTGTCAAAGCCACAGGCTTCATTTGATTGCCATTGTCATGGAAAAATAATTAAAATAATTCACAGTAGTTGTCCTTAGCTCTGAGACCCAGACCCTAATATGTTTTATGAACATCAAATCAAATGGGATTTGGCTGAAAATTCCAATTGTGTTGTAAAATAAATGGAAAATGATATGTTTTAATTGAATTCAATAGCATAATGAAAAATAAAATCAATATTATTGATTTTAAAACATTCATTCAGTAAAATTCTTTCATGTTTTCCTAATTCTGCCCCATTCATTCTTTTGTACCACTGGTATTTCCCTTTGCCCTTAACCTTCAGATAACACAAGCAGCTGTTAGTTGAGGAGGTCAGTGATTGACAGCTGGGCTGAGAGTCACTTTTAATTGGCTGAGAAGCTTGAGCATGAATGGTGAGATGTGAAGAGAATACACAGGTTGTTAACTGGGATATGTTCAGGAAATAGTTGTAAGGTTCTTTGCTTGACGGGGAAGGAATGGAGCAGTTATTTTTAAGCTGCGTTTCTTTGACACTAGACTTCGGGCTTCGATGAGGGGAAGCGTGACTTCTCACATGCTTCACGGCAGTTCTCTTTTCATCTGTTTTACATGGTGGGAGTTCACTAAAACTTAATTTGAAGAGAGAGCTTGTCTATTAAAAAAAAAAAGTAACAGATTGACCAATATTGGTATAAAAAATGAAAATATGGGAATGTTTTTGACAGGTGGTTGAGAGAGCCACTTGTCCAATCTGATTTTGTACTTTTCATGTAGGACTTTATACACACCTGGATCAAGTTTATAGAACATAAACCTAAGGACAACTTTTTTGAGGCTGATTGCATGATTTCTGTCCATTGAATGTGTCTCTTTACCTTGACTTTAGGGTTACTTTTTTTCTAAACGGTCAGTCTCTGATCTCATGTTAACTTCCTTCACAGGTTATGAGGCACCCTGGCGCAGGAACACCGTCAGCAGTTGGTTAATGATGGATTCTGAGAAGAACCCGGAGAATGCTGAGGATGGAAACGGAAAGACGGAAACACGAGACTTGACGAGCGTGTCGTCCGCTGGTGTGGAGCATCTTGAGGCTCATGTGAGGGTGGGGTCCTCTCTGCAGGAAGCGAGCACAGACCTCGAGAGGAAGGAAAAGCCTTCTGCAAGCAAAAGAGGTGTTTCAGAGTCCTCAGACCCGGATGGTGTTGGCCTGGAGGAAGACAGACGTCAGCATGCTGCCAAGCGGATGAAATTAGATGAGGTGGAGCCCCAGAAGTGTGGCGAGCAGGGCACTGACACAGCCCTGGCGGGGGGGACCCCACGAGAGAAAGCTGCTCAGGAGGCCTTCCCCAATGCCTGCGAAGTCAGCACTGTCCGGGATGGTGCTCTGAAAACTGACACTGGAAAGAAGTCAGCTCAAGAAGTGGTTCCCCTTGACCCCGAAAGAGATGCCCCTCTCCCCCTGCAGGAGGTTAGTGTGAGCTGCACCGTGGGAAATGTAGATGCCATTCTGAAATGCAGCACTTGTGGCCACTTGTTTTCTTCTCACTCTGACTTGGACAAGCACACCGAGTGCCATGTGCAGCTGTCCGAGGGACACACCTGCTGCCACTGTGGCCACAAAGCCGAGAGCAGTGCGGCATTGCATCTTCACATCAGACAAACCCACGGGACACAGAAAGTCTTTGCCTGCGACCTCTGTGGTTTTCAGTGCAGTGAGGAAAACCTGTTGAATGCACATTATCTGGGCAAAACACATCTCCGGCGTCAGAATCTCGCTGCTCGTGGAGGATTTGTGCAGATGTTGACGAAACCGTCTTTTCCTAAAAAAACATGTCTGACAGGAACAAAAAGTGTTCACGTGAAACCAAGAGCTTCTAAACCAATAGCTAAGAATACTGATTCAAAAGGATTACGAAATGCTGGAAGTAAATTGAAAGATTTCAGGGAAAGCAGTTCCCCACAAAGTGGCAGTGAGCTTCTTGTTGAAATGACCTCATCCAGAACTTCTTCTTCAGAACAGAGAGTGACAGTTGAGGAAAATGCTTCCTCCCTCGGTGCGGCTCAGGATCCTGAAAACCAGGGTAAAACGCTGGGAGCTTTAGTGACCTCAGAGAGTCTCTCAGAGAAATCGGAACCTCACAGAGGTATCGTCCAGGCCACACATGGTATCAACATGAGACCCAGACCTGAGTGGAGTATTCTGATGTCAGGGAATAGCCTTCGACGGCGAGGCAGCACTTTGACCTTAAAAGGCCAGGCCAAGAGAAGGTTTAATCTTTTAGGAATGAATAAAAGAGGCACACATGAAGCTCAGAGGCTGTACATGAAACACTTCAGGACACAGATGAAGACAGGTGATGCCCAGTCAGCGGCCAAGGCTGTGGAGATGAGCAACAGTGTTAAGAGCGTGGGTGTGACCACTTTAGACGCTCAGGAGCTGAAGCAGGACAAGCGGAGTGCCCGTCTTCCCGGCCCTGGGCAGCTGGGCACACTGACAGCAAAGCCCGCTCCGGGTCTTCAAGCTCTGTGGACTTGTACAGACTGTGGTGACATAACTGCAACCAGAAGTGATTGGGAAGCCCACGTGGGGAGATGCCACACAAGAGTGATGCAATTGCGCTGCCAGACATGCAGCTTTTCAGCCACATCGAGGGCGGACTTTGATGAGCATTTACGCAATAACCAGCATCAGCAGTTGGCCTCTGTCTTCACCTGTCACTGTTGTTCATTCGTTTCCTCAACTGACGTGAATCTTCAGGACCACATGAGGGAGAAGCACAGCGTGGGCTTCCCTTGTGCTCCATGTAATCTGGTTTCCTTATCTGAGACAGATATGGAAGCGCACAGAGCAACTGAAGCGCATCTTAGTTTGTCGGGTCAGCCAAAGACTTCTCCATCGTTGAGCAGGGAGTTGGTTTTACAGACTCTACCTTTCAGTACTTTAGAACCAGAAGGCACACCTATGAATGAGTCAGGAAAGGCCCTTGAGGTAGAACCTGAGTCTGGGGTGAGCCACGGGAGTGAAGGAAGGCATCCGACTTTGAGTAAGCCCCAGTTTCAGTGTAAGAAGTGTTTTTATAAAACAAGATCTTCCACTGTTCTGACAAGACATATAAAGCTTCGACATGGCCAAGACTATCACTTTCTTTGTAAAGCATGTAATCTTTATTCATTGAGCAAAGAAGGAATGGAAAAGCACATTAAAAGAAGCAAGCATCTTGAAAATGCTAAGAAAAATAATATTGGCTTAAGCTTTGAAGAATGCATTGAAAGGGTGTGTATTGGTGCAAACGATAAGAAAGATGAGTTTAGCATTTCTGGAAATGGAAGGAGTGAAGGCCAGGTAGAGGGTGTGCAATTGCAGGAGCATTCCGGTCTTGAGAAGAATGCACTGATGACTAGGGAACTGTCACAGTCTGGTATAGTCACCAAAGATCATGAGCTGGCTTTGACCAGTGCCCCAAAGAGAGGGAGACCTAAAGGTAACATCTCAAGGACTTGTTCACATTGTGGTCTTTTGGCCTCTAGTATTACAAACTTGACTGTCCACATAAGACGAAAACACAGTCACCAGTACAGTTACTTATGTAAAGTGTGTAAATACTATACTGTAACTAAGGGGGACATGGAGCGCCATTGTGCCACCAAGAAACACAAAGGACGTGTACAAGTTGAAGCCAGTGGAAAACAAAATTCCGATGTCATTGTCGGCCCACAAGGGGGTAATCTTGAATCTTGCAGAAAGACCACTGGCTCAGCAGTGACCCTTTCAGATGAACATGCTGCCATATCTGCTGAGCCACATGCCTCTGTTTCAGAAAAGCCAGTAGCAGATCGCAGAGACCCCAGTGAAGTTGCACTTGGAAATGTAGTTCTTTCCATAGGTGAGGACGTGAACAGTCATCCTGCTGACAAAAAAGAGCAAATCTGTCTTGAACCAGAGGGCCTTATCCAAGATGGGATCACATGTTCTCAGAGAGATGCATCAGGAACAAGTGACAATAAATGTATGCACTGTGAGTTTCATGCTCACTCCTCTGCTTCTCTGGAACTGCACATCAAACGGAAACATACAAAAGAGTTTGAGTTTTATTGCATGGCATGTGATTACTACGCAGTTACTCGTCGGGAGATGACGAGGCACGCAGCCACAGAGAAGCACAAAATTAAAAGGCAGTCTTATCTTAACTCCTCTACTGATGTAGAAGCAAGTTCTTCAGAAATGTCCAAAAATATTATTATAACTGAAGAGGAACATCAACCAAGTTCTGAAGATTTTCAGATAATTTTTGACCAATCATCAGATACTCTTAAGTCTAGAAATGCCACTGATTGTTCTATTTTAGATGTGAACACTAATTTAGATATGTCTAAAGGACTTTGTGCTCCCGATTCTGTGGAAATTGAGGCTGAAGAAGCATCTAATTTTAGCGAAGGTCATCCCTTCTGTGAGACTTTGCAACAGCCCCTTGTCAAAGATAAAGTTATGAAACCCGAGGAGGTGGTGTCCCTAAGTGTTCCCTCTGATTGTGGCTCCCCAAACAAACTTCACAGTGAAAACTCCGGAAGCTCAGTGCTGAACTGTGAAATAGCAAAGGGAGACCATGGTGTGCTGAGTGATGTCTGTGGTCCCAGTACACATTGTGAGAGTGGCGGGGGAGATGCAGGCAGTGGTGGAGGTGTAGCCAGGAACCCACCCCCGGATCCTGATGCTCTGGCTGGACACCACCTCATGGAAAGCACCGTTCCTGTTGTTATGAGCATCACCGGAGAGCAGCTGACCCTGGACCACGGCAACCAAAGCCAGGTTGGTGGTGCGCCTCCTTCGGATGACGTGAAAGGACTTCCAGAAGACCCCGTTCTGGGGAATAAGGAAATGCTGACGAATTCCCAGCAGGAAGCAAAAATTATTTTGGAAGAGGATGGGCCAGCTTCCGACAGTACGGTTGAAGGTAGTGACGTTTATGAAACTATAATCAGTATTGACGACAAAGGACAGGCCGTGTACAGTTTTGGCCGGTTTGATTCTTCCATCATCAGGATCAGGACCCCTGAGGATGGTGAACTGATAGAGCCATCGGAGGCGGGTCTGGTGACTGCTGGAGTGAGAGTCAGTGAGTTGCCCTTAAAAGACCCTACTCCGGGTGGGAAAAAGAAGAAACTGGAAGGCACTTGCTTTGGAGAGTCCACTCGGATTCGGTGTGATGACTGTGGTTTCTTAGCAGATGGGCTGAGCGGGCTGAACGTGCATATTGCCATGAAGCACCCCACCAAGGAGAAGCACTTCCACTGTTTGCTGTGCGGGAAGTCCTTTTACACCGAGAGCAACCTGCACCAGCACCTGGCCAGCGCCGGCCACCTGAGGAACGAGCAGGCCAGCGTGGAGGAGCTCCCCGAGGGGGGGGCCACCTTCAAATGCGTCAAGTGCACGGAGCCCTTCGACTCGGAGCAGCACTTGTTTCTCCACATCAAAGGGCAGCACGAGGAGCTGCTGCGGGAGGTGAATAAGTACATAGTGGAGGACACGGAGCAGATCAACCGGGAGAGAGAGGAGAACCGGGGGAGCGCGTGCAGCTACTGCGGGAAGACGTGTCGCAGCAGCAACTCGATGGCATTCCTCGCACACATCCGCACTCACACAGGTACGTGAGCCCTGCGGCAGCCCTGTAGCTCCCTGTGGCCACTGGAGTGTGATGCCCCACAGCCTCCCTGGGGGCCGCAGCCCTTCCTCGCCTGGCATGTCCGCCCCCATTCCATTCCCCTTCCACTGCTGCCTGGCTCTCTGGCCACCTGTAGTAAGTTGTCGATGATACTTAACATTTCTGAAAGGAGTTATGTCCTGTTGGCCGCAGAAGGCCGAAGTTTGGGAACTTACTCTGATCTTGTCTGACACTTTGTACCCACGTGGCTGTGTTGATTCCTGCCACTCACAGCTTTCTACTTGGCTCATTCCCAGTTGTTGGTTTTCCGAAGTGTGTCCATGAAGTGGCACTTCTGTTTTGAGAGGACATAAATGGTTTTTGAGCAATGTCATAATAACAAGTCTGTTACAGTTCTGGGGATTTGAAACTTCGTTGTCAGATACTTGGATATTCGGACGCATGACGCCCAGGTCCGAGGGTCGGCATCCATCAGTACTTGCCGAAGCCGATGGGTACTGGGGACGTGGTGTTCGTGAAAGTGGTAACTGATGTAGTTTTTGTACTTTGTCGCACTTGGTGTTTAATTTTAGATAAAAACGAAAATAAAAAACAACAAAAAACCCAATTTTTTTTTTTTTTTTTGTGGAAAATGCATAAGCCATTCGAAATTTATGTAAAAATTCACTGCAGTGTTTCTATAAACCTGCCATACATCCTTTATTTTAAATAGACAGCTTTTCTAAATCACTGTGCTCTGCTTAGACAAGTCTGTCTCCCTGGTTGAATTTATGAGTGGATTTGAATAATAAATTCACATTTCAATGAACATATTTTCATTAAAACTGTAAGGTTTATTTTACTGTACTTTTAAATAATGGCTTATTATTGAAGCTATGCTTTAAATTCATGCAGTTTTTGAAACTTAGTGCATGGTTGCAAGGAGGAAGACAAAAGAGTATCCAACATTATTAATAGTTGAGTGTGATTACAGAGAGATCAAAGTTTTTCACTGGAGAGGAAGGTAACAGCAACCTGCATCAGGCTAATCTGGGTGCACGTGACAGCGGACCCCTGGTCCCAGCTGTTGCCAGCAATGGAGGCAGGGTGTAGGCGTAAGTGCACATGCTCACGTGTTTGCAGTAGTAATACCTCTGGCAGCACCACGTTGGGAGCCACTCAGAGAGATGAGGTGGATTAAGACAGTAGGCTCCTCACATGCACAGAAAATACATACTTTCTTCATATGCCCTCTGAAGGCAGATAAAACATATACTTTCTTCATAAGCCCTCTGAAGGCGGATAAAACGGAATAAAACTAAGAGGAAGATGCTAATGGGACGCTTTTTAGAATTCTTTATGCAACTGTCTGGTCAGGACATGCTGCTTATAATTGATGTGTCCATTACTTGAATTCTCTTGTAATTATAGTCAATAAGTCTTGTAAATGTGTTCAAGCCCACTAAAAGCATACAAATTCAAGAACAGAGTGAGGCTAATAATTTAAAATAATCAATGTAGGCATTTCAGCACTTAATTTCCCTTGTGTGTTGATAGCTGATCATTCTTAATCCATTAAGATTTATTTAGTCGTTTACAATGCAAAATAGGTTTGCACTGGTCACTTGCGCCATTTGAAAATGTCCACCAGGTTAAGTGCGGACTGTAGTCCATTAGTCTTCCATGACTATATGTATTAATTGCATTTAAAATCAAGTTAATGTGGATGTGAAAGTGAGGTAACTATCAATATATGACAAAGTAACCCCACTTATGTAAGTTACATCATTGATTGTAACATTTAGTAAAAGTTAGCCTACTTTTTAACATACTCTGTTGGGCTTAGCAGCAAGTGCATTTTCACTGTGCTCGGAAGTGGCCTTTCAGAGCTCTGTGCCTGAGCTGTCCGTACCAGGCCACCATTTCCGTTTTGTGAGCCCTTTTTTTGGAGGAAGGTGCTGTCCAGGTTGTAATCCGAGCTTTTTTCTTGGAGCACCTGCAGATAGATTGTTTTCTGATTCTCTGCACACGCCCCTGAAACCATGGTGCTGACATTGTTATTAATGGTTGACTGGAAAGGCCTTCCTCTTCCAATCCCTGTTTTCCTATTGTGTGATTTACTGTGTGTTTTATAGAACCTCTTCCTCCCACCCTTAGCACAGTAAATGCCACACTCAGGAGCAAGTGGGGCTTGGTGTAGGAGCCGACCCCTCAGAGCCCTCTGTCGGTCGCCTCCACCTATCTGCCAGTGGGCACATGTCTCCTTCCCCAGGACTTTGGTGATGGAGGAAACACGTGTCGCCTCTCCCGCGTCATTCTGCTGCTTTGTGCTGTTCTCTCATCTGTGGTGACAGGTGGCATTCGGCAAGGAGGTGTGTAGGGCCACTCCATTTCATGCTCAGAGAGGCCCATCACTTTGTCCTCTGAGCATGCTCCAGGCTGGGAGATGGGAAGAGACTCCACTGACTGGCGACAGTGAGGGCTGCCGTGTTTGTAACTTAGCCTCCAAGGATGAGGGCCGCGGTGTTTGTAACTTAGCCTCCGAGGATGAGGGCCGCGGTGTTTGTAACTTAGCCTCCGAGGATGAGGGCCGCGGTGTTTGT